ATTCCCTTTGTATGTATTCCAAAAAGAGGCAAAACTAAACAAGATATATATATTTTTAGGAATGTATACATAAGAGGTGAAGCTATTAAGAAAAAGAAAGGAATGATAATCCCCAAGTCAAGAGAGGGGTTAAGTCTCATTGCCAGGGGAGTGGGGGGTTAGAGGGGCAGAAGATTGGGAAGGGGCCATCAGGGGCTTCCAAGGTACTGGTAGTATTTAACCTGAGTTGTGGACACGTTGGTGTTAATTTTTCAAAAATTCGTTAAATTGCACACATACATTTCATGTCCTCTTTTGTATGTATGATTATTTCAGAATTGAAAAGTAATCATTTATATTGTACTACACTCAGGGAAGTTCCTTCTGTGATCTGCCTGACATATGTTAACTTACCCTTGGGGCTAGTCGGTTTAATGCATAAGACAAGGCCTAGGACAGTGCTGTGGGCAGGAGGTCTCTGGTCCTCAGAGTCTCCAGCTAGAAACTAGGCTGTGGCCTATAGGGGCATTGTGTGAGAGAGTGGCTGGTTCTCTGTAAACTCATCCCTACATTAAGGAAACACCTGAAAGTGGGCGGCGAGTTGTCCACATCACATATGAAGGCTGGCGTGTTTTAGGACACCCCACAGACCCACTGGCAACAGCTGGATTTTCCATAGGTAGGACAAGACTGGTTATCAGAGCTATGTTACATCTGGTCTCTGCCATTCGGAGCTGGGGGTGCTTCACTAGGAATGTTTGCGAATGGTTTCTGGACCCACAGTCCCACCCTGGGAATGGATTTGTGGTCTGAGAAACAGGAACCTGAAGTGAGATGAGGAGAAGCCAGTAGACATGGTTCCAGTGACTGACTTCGTCTGACGTGGACTACCCTGAACCTAACCAAAAAAGGGGATGTTGAAAGGTTTTCTTGTAAGTCTGAGTTGACTGTTCTGCTTAAATGAGGAAGAAGTTGAATATTGCTTAGGCAGCCTGCAGGGGCCTTGGACTCACTCCTTCTGACTGACCACCAGAGATCACCGTCCAGAGATGGAGGAGGAGATGGCATATAGCATAGCCCTGAGAAGTTGTCTCACTGATGTCATCTTTAATATTAGCCTGTGTTCTGTGACAGCATGGGGCTTTATTCCTAATGCAATGGGTCTGAAGCAGAGGGATTATGTGAGCTGATTTGGGCTTTGGAAAGATTACTCTCATGACCACAATGCAGTCTGCTTCGCTATGGCTGACTGCTCATCCCAGACCCCCTCTCTGCCCCAACTACCCTCTTCCAGACCCTGTAAGACAGAATCTGGGGTGTTCCAAGATTTTCCAGATTTTGAAAAATCTGGCCTGTTCATCATTTCAGACACCATTTTTCCTACTTGGTCAAGCCAAATACCACCATCCGACGCAGTGAAGACACACCTGTAGCCACCTTGACAAAGTGCTGCTCATGACTTGGTCCATCCAGAAATCGATTTTGCTATGACTTGGTCCACGTCTATCATTCTTGACCACTGCCCAAAATGCACACCTTTGCTTGCACCCTTTTGAGGAGGAGGCTTGTTCACACAGGCCAGAAAGTGGGGACCCCTTGCTCCTAGTCACCATTGCTACTGTCAGGCCATTATCTACCCTCTAAAGAAACCACCTCCTTGGAAGCTTCTACATCCAGGTGGGCTGTGCCTGCGGTCCACACCCCTCCTTGTCACTGTCATCTATCAATATCCTAATTCTTTCCCCTTATTCTTTGGAGGCCTTGTCACGTGGTCATAGTCTTTGCCTCCCCTAAATTGCCTGGGTTTGAACCCTAACTGTGCAACTTGCTAGTTACATAACCTTGCCTAACCTCATTGACACCTTGCAAGCACTATTCCCTTCTCTGCCTGATAAATTCCTATTCTTCCTTCCAGAGTCACCTTAGGGGTTTTCTCTTTGGTGAAGTCTTCACTTTCCCAGGAGCTCTTAGGCCCCCCTCTTCTGAGCTTTCATTGCAACTTGGCTTTCCCTCCATTTTTGTAATTTTGCATTGAATTTTATTTGTCTGTTTGCATCTATTCTTCCTCTAAACTGTAAGCTCCTAAGAGCAAGATTCCATGACTTCATTTCTGAATTCCCAGTGCCTTACACATACTGGGAACAGAGATTCCACAAATATTGATTGGATGGTTGGTTGGATAGATGGATGGATGGATAGATGGATGGATGGATGAATGGATGGATGGACATATGAGTGGACTGATGAATGAGTGGATGGATAGATGGATGAATGGATAGATGGATGGACGAATGGGTGGATGGATGGATGGATAGATGCATATGTGCTGTTGTCCTGTAAGTGGTGCAGATCAAACATTCTTTTGAGGGTTCTGACTGCTGAATTTGTATTGTGGTGCTACTGACTGTCTTAATAAGTATTTTTATGATATCACAGTTTTTTATTACTGCCATTTTTGTAACCGTTCATTTGCATTTTCAGTAGAAAAGAGAGGAAGTAAATTCACAGGATCTAAATACACAGATTGCAAGGCAACGCTACTGTTAGACATTTTGCCTCTCATTTCATCCATTTGTGCTTCTGCCGGCCTTCCTTTCAACATACTTTCAATACCCCAAACCCCGCTATGCAGTTGAAAACGAGGCCCACTGCGACTTTGTGAAGCTGCGTGAGATGCTGATTCGGGTCAACATGGAGGATCTGCGGGAGCAGACCCACACCCGGCACTATGAGCTGTATCGCCGCTGTAAGCTGGAGGAGATGGGCTTCAAGGACACCGACCCTGACAGCAAACCCTTCAGGTACCACTCCTGCCAGCCCAGCCCAGCCCAGCCCAGCTCAGCTCAGCCCACCCACGCGGTGTGGAAGCCTTGCCCTGGAGGATTCACAGGGGAGGCCAGACACAGGTGCTAAGACCTCGAGGAGCAGGGTGGCTCACTTGCCAGTTGTGCTTGCCTGTGCACCCTCTGCCTCTGCACACCTGCCAGGAGAGCTGTAGGGCACAGGCTTGGAAAGCAAGCCTTGCTTTTAAGGGAAAGCAAAGGGAGGAGGCCCAGAGGACCAGCAAGGCTGATCACCCTCCCCCACCAACACACACGCATGCTGGACAGCTCCAAGCAGCTGTGCTGGAGGGGATCCCCAAGCTGAGGCCCTGTTCCACGGGGTGGCAGTTTGTAACTATCCTCTGCCCTTCTTTCTTCATCAGGTACCTCAGACAGGTTTCCAGTCTGTTCTTTACCCACCTCCCTATTCTCAAACCCAGATAGGACCAGGTAGCAATCCCTTGGCTGCATTGATGAACTGCAGGCTCTTCAATGGTTGTCCTTAGTGTCTGCATTCAAGTGCAAGTTCTGCTTTGACCATAGGATGTTGATTATCATTGGCATCTTTCTCAAATCAGAATGCTTGGAGAGAAGGGGAATGTTTCTGAAAGCAGGTTATTATGCAGAGAGGAGTGGTATGCCAAGTAGATGTGTCTGATCTCTATGCATGATGTGTGAAATCAGCCCCACAGTTGAAATTACCACGTGGTGCCCTTTATTGTGGTCAGGCATTAATAAGCAAGTGAGGGAGATGTCTACTGGTTAAAAAGACTTTCAACAAGCCTCTGAGATCTTACACTACCTGTTCACAGCCTAAAGCTGGCCTGGGAGCAGACCCTAACCAGTCCCTTGGGGATACTTGCTTCAAGAGGGACAGGCTGATGCCCTCTACTGACAGGTGGGGCCAGGGGCCACTGGCACACCTGGGGTTGGGGGGAAGGCATGCTTTTCTCTTTCCGGTGGGAGCTGCCTGGCTCTCTTCCCCGCCCGCAGCTTTCATCTGCATTTGTAGAGGAGTAGGAGTGCCCCCACCTGGTCATTTGGTCTCCTCCCCTCCATCCTGAATACCTGTTTCCTCTGTCTTCACCTTCTTCACTCCTTCTCTGCCAGCTCCTTCCCATGCTGCATGTAAGCATTCTTGTGCTAAAGAAACTCTCTCTTAACCCTGCTCTTTCTTACCAGCCTCGGCCCTGTCAAGAGGTTCTTGACAGGATGAGAGGGAGAAAGAGCTGTTCTGTATTTACTGGTTCCTCTTCCCCATCTCTCATTCATTCAACCCAGTGCAATCTGGCTTCTGCCCCCAGCACAACCACTAAAATGCCTCTCTCCAAGAACAGGAATCTCAGACTTGTGGCCAAGTTCAGTGTGGCCTTTGGGTTCCATCTTACTTGATCTCAACACAGCACTTTATGCCATTCCCCACTGCTCCTTGAAATGCTCTTCTCTGCCTTTGGCTTTTCTAGCACTTGCCTGGCTGATTCTGTTCCTCTCTCCTGCTATCTTCTTAGCCTCCTTTGCAGGCTCATTTTCTTCACCTTACTCCTTTAAATGTTGATGTACCCCCTGGGGTTCTTTCCTAGGGCCTCTGCTCCTTTCATTTTCTGTTCTCTTTGCAGCTGGTCCTTTCACTCTCACAGCTCTGATTACCGCCTAGAAGTAGATGACTCCCAAGCTAGTTTTACTTCTGAGGTTTAAACCCGTTAATCCGATTGCATCCTGGAAATTTCCACTCAGACATCCCATAGAGGACCTCCCTGAAAATCAAGCTGTGAACAATCGAATTCATCTTCTTCCCTCTTAACCATGCTTCTCCAACATTCCCTGTTGCCGTTCATGATACCAACAACCACCTGGTTGCCCAAGGATAATCAGAATTATCTTGGGCTTCTCCCAGGTCCTGGGAGTTCTGCTTCCCTTACTGCTCCCTCCATCCCCTCCCA